ATATGTAGGTTTATTACTGGATTCTGAGCTATTTTATTGACTTATTTGTTATTTCTTACTCTAGTACCACACTGTTTTGATAAGTGTAGTTTCATAGTAAGTCTTGAAACCAAGAAGTTCTATAACTCCTCCTCTTTTTAAAGTTTTGCTGGAAACCCTAAGACATATGTTTACTCATCCCAACATCTGCACAGCTTATCTTCTCTAATGCCTTGCTCCATAGATTTCAGCTGCTTCCACTACCCTGAGCTCTGATCTTTGCCTCCTTCATTCAATGAGACTGCAAGCTCAGCTTGAAATCTAGCTCTTGATGCTGGGATCAGAAAATAGTCACCAGGCAAAGAGCTGAGGCAGTCTTGGGGCTTAATTTGTGAGTTTCTCTTTTCCTGGGGATCATAATCATGTGCTGACTATTGCTCAATATCTTTAAACAGTTTCCTTGCACATTTTATGCAGTTTTATGATTTTTCTAACGGCAGGAGTGCTGGTCTAGTGTCATTCCCAACATAACTTTTTTTCGCGCTTAAATCAGTCAGATTCAGCTTTTGTTGCATGCAACTAAGAACCTTGGCTGATACAAGCCCCTATTTTATGTCATGTCCTATGATAGGTGCTTGACATTTATTATGTGGTTTAATCTTAATTTAGATAAATAATTCCATGTGGAAACCAGAGAAATGGGCAAGAAGCATTTCTAACAGTGAGGACAAGGGTGAGGGGAGGGAGGTTGCTGTGAGAAGCGCATTCTAGATGGAGGAAGAATGTATAGATGCACAAGAGAATCAGCATGCAAGAAATAAAGTATGAAACTTTTGTCATCTTCAAGGGGATTCTTCTGAGACCTTTATAAATTCTCCTAATCCAATAAAACCACTATACATAGAATTTCCTCCATAAATGCAGTAAAGTACAATTGTTTATATAGTAGGATATTATGCGACGGTTTTAACTTTCCCACCCCTATCAACCTGGGCACTACTAAAATAACTAACCATCCTAGTTTGCCCTGGACTGTTGTGGTTTTAGCACATTACAGGAGAATTCCTCAGCCCCAGGAAAACTGAGAAAATTATCCTTTGGTATATGTGACATTGCTCACCTAGCTACAGTTGATTGGTTTTGGGTGGCCACCAGACTCAAACTTGGCCAATAAATCCCTCATAGATTTATGGAGATAGGACCATAAAGGTCTATGGCAACCAGGAAGTGCCTCTCAGATCTTTCAAGGGAAAACCTACTATGAGGAGTGGAGTCAGCTAACAGTCTCCAGCTGGAGCACTTTTGGGATATTTTTGCATCATTTGATCCAAGGTCATTCCCTTCCCAGGCATCTGCAGCCAATCTCTGAGCACAAGAATTCTGTCTAACGCAGGATTCCTCTAATTAGCAATCTCTGTTGGGGTGGTTGAGACTTCCATAGAGCTGTACTGTAATCTCCTCTTTATCTTGCCAGCCATTACCTACGATAGATCTCTAGATTTGTAACTCCATCTCGGCATCTGCTTTTCAGAGGACCTGATCTGGCTTAGTGTCTCTCTTCAGTGGTTGAATCTGTAATATGAAAATCTAGGAAGGTGTCCGTAACCATATCTACTGTTACATGGACTTGGGAACAAAAAGAGCTTGAGAGGAGTGGGGAGGAAAGCAAGGGAGGGAGCGAAGGCGAGAGAGAGAGAGAGAGAGAGAGACAGAGAGAGAGAGACAGAGAGAGAGAGACAGAGAGAGAGAGAGAGCGCGCGCAGATAAATGTGCAGGGAAGAATAGGGGTAAAAGAATGATAGAGTCAATGTCATTGGAATCCTTGTTTTTGACAATTCTTGAGACCTAACTATACCTTGCCTTTTTAAAAGTTTTGATTGTTCCAATCCTTCTTGAGTTCTGTGAAACACCTTATTATCTTCCCATAAATTTCTCTCTTTGGCTTGTTAGTTTCAGGTAGGTTTTGACAACTTTTAACTAGTGAGTAATAACTAATACTTCTTCACTGCAAAATTAATTATATAGGTTACTAAGTTTATGCTGAATCACATTTCTGTTGAGAGTCAGAAATGTTCATATCCCCAGAGTCAGAAATGTTCATAACCCCAGACACAAATTAATATACCCTTCAGCTTTACCAAATTTTTGTCCATGAGTAGGTGAGGAAAATTTTGTATGGTCTAGATGATTTCTGCAAAGTTTTAGCATTTATTTGTTTCTGTATAGGGTACATAGCAGAATTCTTGTCATAGACCAAAGTTTCAGCCAAATTCAACATTGCACTGTGTCCAGAATATTTATTTTCTGGCTAAAGTCACTACTTTCATTATAAATCTTCCTTATTTTTTTAACTCTTTCAAAGATCACTAGTAGTTAGTTCTTTTAAAGACCATCTTTGATAAATCAAAGTTCAAAATCACAATTAACACATAGTTTTAACCACATTTCAAGAACTCAAGGTTATGAATATGATTAGAGATCATTAAAGCTTCACTGAGATGCTGATAAAACCAAGGTATAGATGTTAGTCAAAGATGATGACTCTCAGACATCATTTAATACAGTAGTCTATGCAAGAGATGGTGATAATTTGGCCTAGAGCAAGGGTCTAAAAATTACTGTCCACAGGGCAAATCCTGCCTCTTGCCTGTTTTTGTAAATAAACTTTTTTTTTGTTTTGTTTTGTTTTTTTGTTTTTTTGTTTTTTGAGACGGCGTCTGGCTCTGTCGCCCGGGCTGGAGTGCAGTGGCCGGATCTCAGCTCACTGCAAGCTCCGCCCCCCGGGTTTTTACGCCATTCTCCTGCCTCAGCCTCCCGAGTAGCTGGGACTACAGGCGCCCGCCGCCTCGCCCGGCTAGTGTTTTGTATTTTTTAGTAGAGACGGGGTTTCACCGTGTTCGCCAGGATGGGCTCGATCTCCTGACCTCGTGATCCGCCCGTCTCGGCCTCCCAAAGTGCTGGGATTACAGGCTTGAGCCACCGCGCCCGGCCGTAAATAAACTTTTATTGGAACATACCTACATTCATTCATTTAGGTATTGTCTGTGACTTCTTTCACTCTATGAAAGCAGAATTTAATACTTGGAGACAGAGACTGTATGTGACTCAAAAAGCCTAAAATATTTACCAGCTGACCTTTCACCAAAAAAAAAAAAAAAAAAAAAAAAAGCCAAACTCTGGTCCTGAATGTTAGCAGTACAGTGAGGGACAAATGCATGAGCAGATTATATTTTGGAAGCAGAACAAGAACAAGTTTGGTGTGTTCTAGGAATAGCTGGTGTGGCGGGAACACAAAAAGACCCAGATACTATTGTTTTTTTTCTATTTTGTTTTCTAGCACATTTGTACCTATTGCTTTTATTCAGCTATTCATTCATTCCAAAAATATTAAGAAGTTCCACTCTGTGTCATACACCATGTGACCTGCTACACACACACACACACACACACACACAGAGGAAACAGTAAAATATCTGACTTTTATTTTATTACAAGCAAAATTTATATTTTATTAAAAGTAAAATATCCAGGCTCCCTAGAGTCTGGAACCAGATTACCTAGGTTTGAATCTCAGCTCTAAAATTTAACTGCCCTGTGATCCTGGTGAAAATTGCTTAACCTATCTGTGCCTCGGTTGCCTTATCCTTAAAGTAGAAATAATATCATCTACCTTAAGTGTTTGATATAAAACACTTAGCCTAGTGTTTAGCATATAGTGAACATTTTATAAATGTTGGTTACTATTATTAAGGAAACTTGCTTCTTTTACTGACTCAAACAAACAGGTGTTGTCTATCAAACTCTTGCCTTTTCTGAGTACTTTGTGTTGATTTCAGCTTACCTTTAGTGAGCTCATTCACTCTAATTGCTACAGTTATGATCTTCCTATTACAGGACATTGGATCATGCTGTTGTTTCTGCCTAAAACTTTTTTCGTTTTCCCATTTGCCTGGCCAACTCCAATTTGTTCTTTAAACATAAGGGCATAAGGGCATGGACTATATCTGGACTTTGTTTATCATTTTACACCCAGAGCTTAGTGCAGTGCCTGGCATACAGTAGGCACTCATTAATGTTTATTGCATGAACGAATACCAGTCAGACTAAATCTAGATTCTTATTGTATTTAATTTTTCCTCTTTATGTTACATTCATACTCTGGATATGTCCTTTTGCTTACACCCTGGTTCCAGAAATTTTTCAACAAATATTTATTAAATATATAGACATTTTAGACTGTGCTTGGAGAACAAATATGAAAAATACAAGTTTTCTACTCTCAAGAAGCTACTTATTCATTAGAGGACAATGACATGCAGAAAGAGAAATTATAATCTAGAATAAGTGGTACTCATGAGGTCTGTAGGAGATCCATTGAGCATACTGGACCCAGGGAAAAGAAGAATACAAACTTATTTGGGAAAGATAGGGAAGGCTTCACAGAGGAGGTACTATCTAAATTGAGTCAAAAATAACGAGTAGCCGTTTTCCAAATAAACAAGTGTGGGGTAAGAGCATTCATGGCAGAAGGAATTCCAGAGCAAAGGTGTGGAGGCTTTTTCCTCTTTTGTTGATCCTGACTTCTACAAACCAATTCCTTTATTGCTTTTTTGACATTAGATTAACACTTTTAATCTCGAATCAATATAATCCTGCACAATTTCCCATTTTTAGAATATATGCATTTTTCGTTCCTAATGGGTATTCCCTTCTAGTGCTCACTGTACATAGCACTGTATCTGGACCCTGGGTTCAAGATGCTCAGCTGAATCGATGGGAGTAACGAGCGGTATATGACGACCATAAAGTCAAGAAAGTGGTGGAAAGGTAGTAGAATTTTAGTTCTAGTAAACCTTTATAAACCACCATAAATAGAAGCACCTATGGCTTCAAATCTGTTTAATAAAGGCGATTGACTGCCCCGGCCCAATCCTTCAGAATGGGAGAGTGACGCCCTAGCACCGGGCGAAGTCCCGGGCGCCAGAGGCACCCACCCCGCACAGCCGGAAGGAGTGGGGCGGGGCCTAGAGGCTCTCCGCTGGGCCCGAGCGGGCTGGGGGAGGGGAGCGTCGGGTCGACGGTTTTGGGGGTGAAAAGGCAAAAGGCGGGTGAAAGGCTGCCTCCCGAGGCTCTCCTTGCTTGGAATTCTGCCCACTCTGCGAAGTTAGGAGTCACGACCTCCAGCACAGGTGGGTTCCGTCCCGTGGGTCAGGGAAGGGGTGTCCCGATGGGTGCTGCGGGTGGGTTTGCCCAGGCGCTGGCTTTCAGGCCTGTCGCAATGGGCGGCGGAGGCTCTCACCCGGGCTGCTGGGCCCAAGGGCGGTGGTACTCACCTTAACCCTGGCGGAGGAGAAGGCCACTCCTGCCTTGCCGCAGGGCTGTCGTCACGATCTGTGCCAGTTGCGCTACAGAGTCTGCCCGGAGATCAGCGTGAGGCCAGATGGGCCCAGCGCTCAGGAAGAGCTGGAAGAGCTGGAGCAAGCTGGCGTTGGGACTGACGCCCAGTGTACATTGTTTCAATCTCGGTCGAACTTTACAGCCCTGGATCTGTCACTGACTTGGTGTTTAGCTTTCAGCGAGTCCCTGCCCTCTCCCTGCCTCACTTTGTTCGGCAGTAGAGTGGAAGGTGGAACTCAGCTGTCTACAAGATCTTGCAGCACTTTCTTTCGTTCTCATATCAACTAATGTTCTCTGCCCAGATTTTACCCTTTGTCTGCCCCTCTGAAGCAAGGCACTGGGTAAGTTAGGCTAGGAAGTTTTCTTTCTCTTCCGAAAACAATGGAAAAGCCTTTAAATACTCCTGACTGCCCTGGAAACGACATTCAAACCATTAATTGAATGTCAACTCTAAAGAATGTGTTTCTGAATGCCATACTATTAAACATTTTAACCAGATGATTGCCTAAAATGATGTGTGTTGAGTGGACATAGTACACTGCCTAGCAAAAGTCTCATGATAAACAAGTTGGGTGCTTTAACTCAGTCGCTGAAAGAAAAACTTGAGCTCTCATATTTAAGAAACACCTTCATAATCCACTCCCATGCAGTAGTCTTTTAGTGTTGCTTGTAGCTTGGTTTGCCCTTTCAGGACACACTGTAGTAAAAATTACATACACTTTATTTTACATTAAGTTAACTATAAACAGAAAGGCCTATAAACATTATGGATCAACATTTTGGTGTCAACTTCTGGTTTCTCCTCATCAAGGAACTGGTGATAATGATAATGGTGACCATATATTATGCAAAATACTATAATTGTCACAACCACCCCAAGACATTAAGTATGGTTATTTATCATAAGTGTTAAAAATCTTATACTTTATCTCATAAACAGTGTGATGAACGGAATGTTTACTGCAGTGGTTGACTCTGGGGGCTTGTTTAGTGTGCCCCACCTAGTTCTTTATTTCTTGGAAGCTTGGACTGGAACAGATCACTTCCTTGTTTTGGCGTCTGTTTCAGGAACCACCATTTGTTCTGTATTTCTGCTTGTCAACCCTGGGAACAACAGTAAAACCAGCCAAGCAGATCACTTGGTGTTTACAGTATTTCTGACAGCTGTGTTTTCTGCCTCCAAGGGGTGGGAGGGGGACCCCTAGATTAATAAACCTCTTTGTTGGGAAGAGTCTCTTCCTGCTTGGAGCAAAACAGAACGCAGATCCATCAGTTGGGCACCATTGTGGTCCCCTTTCTATAACACTAAGCATCCCCCATGCTCATATGGGCTGTACATGCACCTGCCATTGCCCTGTGTAAAGATTTACAGGATAAGAAACCCTTGAAAGAACTCAGCCTGCTCCATACCTGTAGGTTCTAGGGAAGGAGTGACTGATATGTAGGTGAGCGTTCTTCTGGACGAGAGAAAGACCTCATGATTCCCCAAATGGTTTGAAAAGTGAGAAGAAAATTGTGCTGGACATCTACTGAGCCAACCTTAAGGGTGAGTTTTCTACTGGCTATTTGGCAGGACCTGATGTCTGCCTCGTTTAGCCATATTTTTACTCTATTCATCATACTCTGTTCGTTCACTCCAAAGGCAATCAATGAATGTCAACTCTGTGCCAGGATGCTGATCCATTCACTGAGATTGGCAGCACGGGAGGACAGCCAGTTCGGGAGGACAACAGGAATTCAACTTTAAGCATACTCAGTCTGAGGCCTCCTCACCTTTCCCCACTCCCTATATCTAACCACTACAAAATCTTGTCACTTCTACATCTTGAATATTTAAAAAATCCATCCACTTCTCTTTGCCCCTATGGCCACTCCAGATTTCAAGCCAGCAACATTCTTTTTTAATTGATTTTAAAATTTTTATTTTAAAAGACCAAATGGTTGCTTGACCTTCGACTCTCATGAGAAAACCACAACCCTTACTGTCACCACCACCACCACCACCACAGCAACAACAACAAACAGCCTAATGACCTCTGTGTGATCCCTAATAAATTGGCAAAGTAAAGAGATGAATGTTCTCTTTTGTTTTCTTGATGCTGAATGTGTTTAAAAACATGTTTAGGATAATTAGCGTGCCCTAAAATTCATGTATTTAAAGTGATTTTATAAATTTATTGGGTGGTGCAACCATCACTACAATCTAATTTTAGAACACTTGCATCACGTCAGTGACATCTTCCTTGACCATTTGCAGTCAGTCTTCATTACCACTCCCAGCATCAGACAACCAGTAATCTACATTCTGTGCCTACGGATTTGCCTATCCTGAAAATTTCATCTAAATAATGTCTCCAAAGTTTATTAATGTTGTGGCATATATAAATACTTCATTCCTTTTTATAGCTGAGTGATATTCCATTGCATCAGTATACTACATTTTGTCTATCTAGTCATCAGTTGATGGACACTTGGATTGTTTCTATCTTTTGGCTATTGTGAATAAAGCTGCTATAAACATTTGTGTACAAGTTTTTGGGTGGATGTTCATTTTCAATTCTCTTGGTTAAACACCTATGAGTGGAATTACTTGGTCATATTATAACTGTATGTTTAATTTTCTGCCAAACTGTTTTCCCAAGGGGCTGTACTATTTTACAGTTGTTAGATTTATATGAACTACTAGCAATGTATTTCTTCACATCATCACCACTTTTGTTATTTCCCCGTTTTTTTTTTTCAAATGTGTAGCTATTCTTGTGGGTGTGGAGTAGTATCTCATTGTGATTTAGATTTGCATTTCCCTAATGGCTAATTGAGCATCTTTTTATTTGATTGTTAGATATTTGTATATGTTCTTTGGAGAAATGTCTCCTCACATATATTGCCCATTTCTGATTAGGTTGTTTCCTTACTATTGAGATGTAAGAGTTGCTTATATACAAGTCCTTTATCAGATATGTAGTTTGAAAATATTTTCTCCAAGTGTATGGTTTGTCTTTTCATTTTCTTACTATCGTATGTTGAAGAACAAAGGTTTTTACTTATTTTACTTTTATTTTAGTTTCAGAGGTACAGGGCCAGTTGGTTCTATAGATAAATTGTGTGTCACAGGGGTGTGGCGTACATATTATTTCATCACACAGGCAATAAGCATAGTACCCAATAGGTAGTTTTTTGATCCTCACCCTCCTCCTAACCTCCATCCTCAAGTAGACCCCAGTGTCTGTTGTCCCCTTGTTTGTGTCCATGTGTACTCAACATTAGCTCCCATTTATAAATGAGAACATGTGGTGTTTGGTTTTCTGTTCCTGTGTTACTTTGCTTAGAATAATGGCCTCCAACTCCATCTATGTTGCTGCCAAGGACATGATCTCATTCTTTTTATGGCTGCTTAGTATTCCATGGTGTATATGTACCAAATTTTCTTTATCCCATATACCATTGATGGGCATTTAGGTTGACTCCATGTTGTTGCTGTTGTCAGTAGTGCTGTGAAGAACATATGCATGCATGTGTCTTTATGGCAGAATGATTTATATTTCTTTGGGTATATACCCAATAATGGATGGCTGGGTCAAATGGTAGTTCTGTCTTAAGTTCTTTGAGGAATTGTCAAACTGCTTCCCACAGTGGCTGAACTAACTGACATTCCCAGCAGCAGTGTATAAGTGTTCCCTTTTCTTTGCAACATTCAACATCTGTTATTTTTCACTTTTTAATAATAGTCATCCTGACTGGTGTAAGATGGTATTTCATTGTGGTTTTCATTGATTAGTGATGTTGAGCATTTTTACATATGCTTATTGACCACATGTGTGTCTTCTTTTGAAAAGTGTCTATTCGTATCCTTTGCCCACTTTTTAATGAGGTTGTTTGGTTTTTGCTTGTTAATTTAAGTGCCTTATAGAGTCTAGATATTAGCACTTTGTCAGATGCCTAGTTTGCAAATATTTTCTCCCATTCTATGTGTTGTCTATTTACTCTATTGATAGTTTCTTTTGCTGTACAGAAGTCCTTCAGTTTAACTAGGTGCTATTTATCAATTTTTGTTATTGTTGCCGTTGCTTTTGATGTCTTTGTCATGAAATATTTGACAGGGCCCATGTCTAGAATGGTATTACCTAGGTCTTCTTCAAGGGTTTTTATGGTTTTAGCTGTTACATTTAAGTCTAATCCATTTTGGTTGATTTTTGTATATGGTGTAAAGAAGGGGTCTGGTTTCTATCTTCTACACACAGCAACCAGCAATCCTAGCACCATTTGTTGAATAGGGAGTATTTACCCCATTACTTGTTTTTGTCAGTGTCAAAGATCAGATGGCTGTAGGCACACAACTTTATTTCTGGGCTCTCCATTTTGTTCCATTGGTCTATATGTCTGTTGTTGTACCAGTACCATGCTCTTTTGGTTACTGTAGCCTTGTATAGTTTGAAGTCAAGTAATGTGATGCTTCCAGGTATGTATTTTTGCTTAAGATTTCTTTGGCTATTTGGGCTCCTTTTTGGTTCCATATGAATTTTAGAATAATATTATTTTAATTATGTGAAGAATGTCATTGGTAGTTTGATAAGAATAGCATTGAATCTATAAAATGCTTTGAGCGGTATGGCTATTTTAACAATATTGATTCTTCCTATCCACGAGCATGGAATTATTTTTCATTTGTTTGTATCATCTCTGATTTCTTTCAGCAGTGTTTTGTAATTCTCATTGCAGATATCTTTCATCTCCCAGGTTAGCTGTATTCTCAGGTATTTTATTCTTTTTATGGCTATTGTGAATGGGATTGCATTCTTTATTTGGTTCTCAGCTTGGACATTATTGATGTATAGAAATGCTACTGATTTTTGCACATTGATCTTGTAGCCTGAAACTTTGCTGAAGTTGTTGATATGATCTTGGAGATTTTTGTCAGAGACTATGGGGTTTTCTATGCATAAAATCATATTGTCTGCAAACAGAGATAGTTTGACTTCCTTTCTTCCTATTTGAGTGCCTTTTATTTCTTTCTTTTGCCTGATTGCTCTGGCCAAGACTTCCCATAGTATGTTGACAGTGGGCATCCTTGTCTTGTTCCAGTTCTCAGGGAGAATGCTTCCAGTTTTGCTCATTCAGTATATGTTGGCTGGGGGTTTGTCATAGATAGCTCTTATTATTTTGAGGTATGTTCCTTCAGTGCCTAGTTTGTTGAGAGTTTTTAATATGAATGGATACTGAAATTTATCAAAAGCCTTTTCTGCATCTGTTGAAATGAACATGTGGTTTTTGTTTTTAGTTTCGTTTATGTGATTAATAACATTTATTGATTTGCAAACATTGAACCAACCTTGCATCCCAGGGATAAACCCTGCTTGATCTTGGTGAATTAGCTTTTTGGCATGCTACATTCTTCACGGATATTGGCCTGAAGTTTTCCTTTGTTGTGGTGTCTTTGCCAGGTTTTAGTATCAGCATGCTACTGGCCTCAAAGAAGGAGTTAGGAAGGAGTCCCTCCTCAATTCTTTGGAATAGTTTCAATAGGAATGGTACCAGCTCTTCTTTTATGTCTGGTAGAATTCAGCTATGAATCCTTCTGTAACTGCGTTTTTTTCTGGTTTGTAGGCTTTTCATTACTGATTCAATTTTGGAACTTGTTAGTGGTCTGCTCAGGGTTTGAATTTCTTCCTGGTTCAGTCTTAGGAGGTTGTATGTTCCAGTAATTTATCAGTTTATTCTAGGTTTTCTAGTTTGTGTGCAGAAAGGTGTTCATAATAGTCTCTGATTTTTTTTTTTTTTTTTGGTATTTCTGTGGGGTTGGTGATGATGTCCCCTTTATCATTTTCATTTTTGATTACTTATGTCTTCTCTTTTTTTCTTTGTTAGTCTAGCTAGCAGTCCATCTTATTTATTCTTTAAAGAAACCAGTCTTATTGATTTCATTGATTTTTTTAAATCATTGAATGTTATAATCTTTCCTCTTGATACTGTTTTAGCTGTGTCTCAGAGATTCTGGTATGTTGTATCTTTGTTGTCATTAGTTTCCAAGAATTTATTGATATCTGACTTAATTTCATTGTTTACTCAAAAGTCATTCAGGAGTAGGTTGTTTAATTTCCGTGTAATTTTACAGTTTTGACCAATCTTCTTGGTATAGATTTCTATTTTTATTGTGCTGTGGTCAGAGAATGTGGCTGGTATGATTTTTGTTGTTGTTGGTTTTAATTTGCTGATAATTGTCTTATGGCTGACTGTGTGGTCGATAGAGTATGTGCTATTTGCAGATGTGAAGAATGTATAGTCTGTTGTTTTCAGGTGGATTGTTGTGTAGATGTCTGTTAGCTCCACTTGATCAAATATTGAGTTCAGGTCCCAAATATCTTTGTTAGTTTTCTGCCTCGAGGATCTGTCTAATACTGTCAGTGGGGTATTGAAATCTCCCACTATTATTTTACAGTTATCTAAGTTTCTTCATAGGTCTCTGAAAACTGGTTTTATGAATCTGGGTGCTCCTGTGTTGGCTGCATATATATTTAGGATAGTTAAGTCTTCTTGTTGACTCTTTAC